AACCCTGGCTAGCTGAGAGTTTCCCAGAAAATATACATTTTTGTTGTGGTTGAAGAATCTTTTTAAAAATATAAGGCTATGGGATCCCTGGGAGGCGCAGCGGTTTGGCGCCTGCCTTTGGCCCAGGGCGCGATCCTGGAGACCCGGGATCGAATCCCACGTCGGGCTCCCGGTGCATGGAGCCTGCTTCTCCCTCTGCCTGTGTCTCTGCCTCTCTCTCTCTCTGTGACTATCATAAATAATAAATAAAAATTAAAAAAATATATATATAAGGCTATTTTATTTTACCATTATAGAGTAGAATATTTGACTATTGAAATTTCAGTTCCTAACATATTGATTTCTGATTAAGGTTTTATTGAAATCTAAAATGGTACTTGAATCCTAGTATGTGTTTATGTCCAAATTGGAAGGGGTTCTCTAGTTTGGAAGTGTGCTTTTAATTATTCAGTAGTAAGACATTGCTATGATGATAGGTGATCATCAGCAAGCATCTGCCAATTGCACTTTCCTTTTTTTGTGTTAAAGAAATTCATCTGACTATTAAAATCAAATTAATCGCTGTTCCAATTGGATGTTTTCATACTCTGTTACACCTTACATTCCCCAAACTAAATAGATTCTCTAAATAAAAGAGATGGAGGGGATGTGTCCTAAACAAAACAAAGATGAGGGTGGCATTTCTGTTTGTCTGACAATAGTGCTGAAAATTGTGATTCAGGTCAGTGAAATACGCTAGAGATGGCTACCAAAGAAGTTGCAAACCACCCCTTTTGGTCAATTCTTTCCTGAAAGGATGGATCTGGTTTCTCCCTTGCACTCCTACTCCTCTCCATCTCTCTCTCTCTCTCTCTCTCTCTCTCTCTCTCTCTCACAGACACACCCTATGTGACTGTCATGTATCAGATGCTCACATATAGGGTACCTTTAAACCTCACAACATTTTGAGAGTTGATCTACCTATTAATATGGGCATTGCTTAGAAATAGTCACCTACTTCAAATCTCTGCAATCCTAATAAGAACCATGAAACCAAGTGTTTTATTAAGGGGCTCGAGGCAGCAGAAAAAAAAAAAAAACAAAATAGAGGTCCAAGCTGTACCAAAAGCTCAACTCTTACATTACAAACTTTGTGTTTTTAAATATTACCCAGTGACTATTATCCTACTTCAGACAGATTTCTGCTTAGTACAGATATGCTTTTTCAGATTAAAAGCATAAAATTAGAGAAGAGAGAAAGCACATGTTTAAGACAGCCAGAAAAGTGAGTGGCTTAAAGACACACATATAATGCAATATCAAAAAAAAAGTTTATATATTAAATGCAATAACAAAGAATCATAGTGCTCATTCAGCCTAAGGGCATAATGACTCAATGACCCAAAAATTCTGAAAAGTACCTGATATACAGTATATAGTGATGATGCTCCAACACCTACAAAGTGATCTAATTTTATTATCGTTTATATAAATAGAAAGTTTTCTGTAGAAAATGGTTTAAAAATAGTGTTATAATAAAGCCAAGTTTTGGTTGTTATAAAATTTATTTGTGAAGAATGTTGCATTCATGATGATAGGTATTCACTGATTGCCCTAGGAATTTAATGGTTTTGTATATCACACACTCTAAGAATCTCATGTACATACCTTGCTTCATAGACTTATCCTCTGAAAATGAAGAAAACAAAACAGCATCCTAACATCTTTGATCTTATATAGAATAATAGGAAAGAGATGTGTGTCAAGCAAATCATCAGTCTAACTAACAAACTTCAACCCAATGAGGTTGGTTGTTTCTGAGGTAAAAAGTAGAGCATGCAGGAAAAAAAAAAGGACAAGAGGGAAAAAAAGTGTGTGGGGGGGGATAGAATAACTCACCTCAAAGTGTGGCAGAGGGATCCCTGGGTGGCGCAGCGGTTTAGCGCCTGCCTTTGGACCCAGGGCGCGATCCTGGAGACCCAGGATCGAGTCCCACATCGGGCTCCCGGTGCATGGAGCCTGCTTCTCCATCTGCCTGTGTCTCTGCCTCTCTCTCTGTCTCTCTGTGAGTATCGTAAATGAATAAAAATTAAAAAAAAATAAAATGCTAACTTTAAAAAAAAACTGTGGCAGAAAAAAAGCAATGACACATTACAGAAAAAGATGATCTATATTATGTGAAATTCATATGATATGAAAGAACATAACAGTGGGGAAGGTGCAAAGAATCAGGTCCAATATTTTAGGATGCAAATAATCAAGAATCAAGTCCTTTTTTTTAATTTTTATTTATTTATGATAGTCACAGAGAGAGAAAGAGGCAGAGACATAGGCAGAGGGAGAAGCAGGCTCCATGCACCGGGAGTCCGACGTGGGATTTGATCCCACGTCTCCAGGATCGCGCCCTGGGCCAAAGGCAGGCGCCAAACCGCTGCGCCACCCAGGGATCCCTGTTGTCTTGTTCTTAACAATGCATTGTGTGTGCGTTTTTTTTTTAACAATGCATTGTTAACATAGTTCAATAATGTAGTTCACCCTTAACAGATTTTCCCTTTGCCCTCCTGTTTTGCTACAGGAGGGACTTACAAGCTTTCTGCTTCTGGCTTGAGGAAGTGTACTTAGTTTTTTCCTCCTTCAAGGCCTGGAAATTAATACAATGAATCTGAAATTACCCATTGTCAAGAAGGGAGTTATCAGGCTTATCTGTGTCTTCCCCTTAATTTTCTCCCCTGCCCATCTGTGAATCCTGAAGTTCAAAGGAAACTTCTGCCGTGGGTCCATGGAGCTCTCTAGTCACAGCTTGAAGTTCCACCTAGATCTGAACAGATCTAGATCTGACCTCCTCCCAGAGGTCTGTCAGAGAGGCGATATTTTGCTCCAAGTTGATCTGAAAAACAACTTTAGCTCAATTACAGCTGACTTCCAATAAAATGGTAGGTGGGACTGGCCTAGAAATTCAACTCTTACCCCTTTTTAGCCTATCAAATAAACCCATCTGCCTGTCCATTTAAGAAGAAATGAACCATTGACTGAAAGAATTAAGTGGGTGGGTATTGAGATTGAATTAGAACTGAGAGGCTTCCAATTCTATTCTCTCACGAAACCACAACTTCCACAATTGTATTGGAAAATTTAAAGAGCCTATCTTTTCTAGTTGTATCTCTTTGAGATTGCCTAAAAATCCACCCTGCTTTGCAAGCTAGGCCTGTGTATTATAGGACAAAAGGGAGAATAGTGGCAATCTTCCCCAACAGAAAAAATTGGAGCTAACTGGGATCAGTTCTCTGAAGCTTTTCCTGTCAAACACTTCTTTCACCTCCTGTGGGTTTCCTACATTGTCTTCTGTTGAGGGTAGTGGAGAACAACAGGAAGAAACAAATAACAAAGCACTAGGGATAGTAGAAGAGTAAATCGTGTGCAACTAGTACATAAATGAGTTCTGGAGCTCTGATCACAAAATAGTGATTATAGACCACAATACCATGTTGTAAACTTGAAAGTTGCTAACGGGCTAGATTTTAATTTCTTCCTCGTGAAATAAATAATTATGTGATGTGATAGAGGTGTTAGCTAACCCCAAAGTGGAATCGTATTACAATATATAAATGAATCCAGTGAACACACCATTTTTATTAACCTTACGTGATGTCATGTCAATTATATTTCAAAGCATTTTTTAAAATACTACATCATTAACATCTCTCCTTGCAAAATAGTAAATCATGCAGAATCCAAGAAGATATTAGTTACACATATATTTTGTAATTGTGACATTAATTTACTTTAAAAATAATATATCCATGGAACTGTAACTTGTATGAGCAAATTGTTTGACACATTGGTTTCTCCTTTCCTTCTATTTAATTAAATAACACTATCCCTTGAAAACATCAACAGTTCTTGATGTCTGGAAAAGAGCCCAACATCTGAGAGAATTCAAGCCCTTACATGGGTTGGGACAGCTTCCCAGCTGCTCTCTCTTTCCTCTTTTCCTTCTTCCTATTAAGCTCTCTTCCCGCAGCTCTATTTTGTAATCCTAGCTATTAGTTCTTACTAAGAAAAGATAATTCATATTTCCAACTTTCAAAAATGGAAAATGTAAATGGTATGCATTGGTTCACTGTCGCGGCCGGCGCGAGAAGGTCCGGATTCAGGAACCGAGGGCAAGGGGATGAGAAAGAAACAAGAGACTAAAAGTTCATGGGATAGGAGGTTCCATGCAGCTGATGGCCGCAATGGACAAGCTTTATTTTTGCATGTAGAGTTTATATAGCCTCTGTAAGCAGGCAGCTTATTTCTTTAAGGAGAAGTACATCTCGCGCACAAACATACATTGTTTTTAAAACTAACACCTGTTATTTGTTTAAGCAATAGAGCAGGAATGCCACATATAGACTAAACAGTGAAGTTTGTTTATTAAGTAATGTCTGCCAAGGTGGTCATGTGTCAGGCCACCTTCTTGCTTACTTTATGGGAACTTGTCTCGATAACATTTTAAAGGAGAAGCAAATATGTACATTTACTTCCATAAGGGGGAAGAGCTAGGTGCAGCCCCAGCAGGTTGGCCAGGTATGACAAGGAGCCTTTGCTCAACCCAGAACCCTGCCTCGCGCCGCAGGACTGCGGGTTGGCTAGGGACAGACAGGGAGCTTTGGCTCAACTTGGAACCTTGCCTCGCACTGCGGGACCGCTCCCAACATCTCCCCCTATATTTTTCAAATGCAAAAAGTGAAGTTGTGCCTTAGAGGAATTTAATTGATTATTGAATTTTCTGCAAGAGCAGGCAAACATTACATACATCAGAATTAATCCGATTATTAATACCAAAAATATCCAAAAGGAATATTTCAATGAATTGAAGGGATTAAAACCATTTAACTGATTTAAGATCTCACCAGCTAAATCGCCGGGGTCTTCATAATGCAACATACTTTGACTAATGACGTTTATTTCTTGTTGTAATTTTAAGAGATCCAGACTAATATTAGCATGATTCCAAACCCTTGTAAATGCATACGTACATTTTCCCATGACCCATTAAAAGGCAGAGGGGTAACACAAATATGCTTATAAGCATCATGGCAAGTCAATTGGGTTATAGTTTTTAGTACAACAAATTGATCACCAAGATATAAAATGGCTTCTTTTAAAGCTTCAATCTGTGCTTCAATTTTTTCATCAATTCTCTTTTGAGCATCGAGAGCAACAGTTACATTTCTAGCAAATTCATTTACATGTTCAGCAGTCTGAGCATTTTCATGCAAAGATACAACAGATACAGTAGCAGAAGCAATAAGAGCAATAGTAGCCACTATCCCTGCAATTAAAAGTCCAAGAAATCTTGGAGTTCTTCTTAGCTTCTTCACCAATTCTTGAGCTAACTGCATGCCAAAGTTCGCGTACCAAGGTCCTCTCACATCAACAGGAATCATCCAATATGGAGGTTGTTGCACCAGGAATAACTTTGTGTTGAAATCAATCTTCTTATCTATAGGTATGTAATTTGTTAATATGCACGAGGGACAATGAAGTCGATAAAAGGTAGAGGTTTTAGTTTTTTCGACAGTTACCTGGCCGTTTCCTATTACTAAGAAAAAGGGAGGGGGCACGCATGTGCGAACGCAGAACGTGGGATTTAGAATAGCCTCTGGAAAGCCTATGCTATCATTTGTGTAAATCTGGTCAAAAGCAGCATAAAGCTTCCATAAATCTCTGTGTACTTTTCCTGTACTAGTCAATAAAATGGATCGCGGGATAGCTCGAGTGTGCTCTTGCAATTCCGCATTGGGTATGCGCATATAGCTAGGAATTAAACGAAGGGGTTTTAGGATGGGACCCAATGTGGAGGTGGAAGTATGACGTGCTGATCGAGATAGATCAAATATTGGGAAGTCCACTTCATGTGGAGAGAAGGTCTTGGGTGAATACATCTGACAATCATCAAAAGCATAGGTTCCTTCTAATGCATTTCCTTTGTAAGGACATTGATTCATAACAATAGGGGCACTCTTGGAATCATGAACCCCATCTCCAATGATTTCCAACTTCTGCCAATAGGCCTGTATATACTTTTGTGCCCATTGCATTTTACCTTTTACATGAAAGAGAGACCAAGTAGAATAATTTAGGACTCTGCCTACAGGCACGGATCCCAAGCAAGAGAGTGTTAGTCTCTTTGGATGGGTTTCTTTTTGAAAACAGATCGGAGGGTGAAAGGCCAATCCGGAATAATTTATAGGAGATTGCACAGAAGGGAAGAAACTAGGGACCCCGTTCCCCAAGATAGAGAAATTAATATGAATTTTAGGGGTTGGATCCTCCCAAGTTACTGGCTGTGCTACAGGAGGACTGGACAAATAAGCCCAGAACAGTTTTCCTTCAGCAGGGGGAGGGATAATAAGAAGGCTGAGGCAAGCCAGAAAATGAGTCAAGGGGGTTAGTTGTTTACCAGAGGATATTACCAAACTTGTGGCTTGCGAGGTTAATTTCCTCATTTGCCTCCATGATGGCAGATTCATCTTACGAGTCTTCTTCTTCCGAGGAGGGCATAAGTTCAGCCGACTCATCTTCCTTCTCAGTTTTGATATCTCTAACAAATTTGGCTGGAACCCAGCGCGGTGCTTCCTCATCTTGTGGGAAGATACAAGCATATCCTCGACCCTGTCTAAGTAAGGGGTCAGGGCCTTTCCACTGTCCTGTCATAGGATCCTTCCACTTTGCCATAAGGGGTGGATCAGTATTTTTTCCCCAATGTTTTTCTGATGGTGTATATCCATCATCATGCACAATCAAAAAATTTAAAATGAATATTGCTAAGTCTAGGTGCATGTGGGGGGAATATTTCATCTTTCCTGCCATAATCTCCCCCTTTTTTAGTTTTTGTAAGGTAGTTTTAAGTGTAAGATGAGCTCTTTCAATAATAGCTTGACCTGTAGAGTTGTAAGGGATGCCTGTGGTATGCTGGATGTGAAATGTTTCACAAAAGGTTTTAAAAGCTTGGGATATATAAACACTCCCATTATCAGTTTTTAATCGTTTAGGCATTCCCATGTAAGCAAAAGCGTGAAAAAGGTGATTTTGAACATCAGTAAAACTTTCACCAGAATGAGCAGAAGCTACGATCATGCCAGAATAGGTATCAATAGAAACATGCACAAATTGTAATTTATTAAAAGATGAATAATGTGTTAAATCCATTTGCCAGAGATCATTGGGTAAAAGGCCTCGCGGATTAATGGCAAAGGAAGGGGTGTTAACATATTGGGGACATAGGGAGCAATTTTTAACAATTTGCCTAGCTTGTTCTCTAGTTATATGAAATTGCTTTCGTAGGGATCGAGCGTTTTGGTGGAAAAGAGAGTGACTTTTCATTGCTATACCGACAGAATCCTTATTAGCAATGACAGAATATAAATGAGCATATCTATCAGCCAAGTCATTTCCCGAGGCGAAAGGTCCAGGTAAACCAGAATGTGCTCTAATATGAGAAACAAATATAGGTGAAACTCTTTTTTTTTTTTTTTTTTTTTTTTTTTTTAAATTTTTATTTATTTATGATAGTCACAGAGAGAGAGAGGCAGAGACACAGGCAGAGGGAGAAGCAGGCTCCATGCACCGGGAGCCCGACGTGGGATTCGATCCCGGGTCTCCAGGATCGCGCTCTGGGCCAAAGGCGGGCGCCAAACCGCTGCGCCACCCAGGGATCCCGGGTGAAACTCTTTTTAAGAGCAGCTGCTGTATTTTATGAAAAAGGCACGAAAGTTCCTCATCATTAGAGTTTATGAAAGAATCAGCAAGAATGGGTAATATCCTGGCGACATATTGACTATCTGAATAGAGATTAAAGGGTTCTTGATAAATTTCAAGAGTTTTCATGACAGCATAAAGTTCAGCCCTCTGGACAGATTTTGTTTTATAGGACAACAGAATGATATTTTTATGTTGTTTATGCAGATAGACAATGGCAATGTGCCCGTCTTTGCTGGCGTCCGGAAATATGATGGGAGCGTCTTTAATCGGTTGACTCGAAATTGGAGAAACAAATATAGTAGGAATGATGGAGAGACCCTGAAGGAGTTTGTCATTGGGAAGATGAAAAAGAAATTGACCAGGAAAATTTGCCATAGATGTTTGCCATTCCAGGGAGGTTTGATATGCATCCTCTATCATGGAGGCGGTTAAAAGAGGACATACAATACTATGAGGCTCATGTCCAAATAACTGGATGCATCTCTTCCGTCCCCTAGCAATTAATAAAGATATAAGGGAAATCGTCGGGTTGATGACATGCAAAACGTGCATAGCTAAATGGAGCCATTCCAAAGGCCCATGGGTTTGCCACAACACTGCCATAGGGAGAGCATCAGGTTTTAAGATTATTAAGTTAACATTCTTTGTCAAATCTCTTTGTTGGAGTTGCGCAGAGGAAATTTTATTTGTTACGAAAGCCAAGGCATCCTCTGCTTCTGGAGTAAGCTGTCTCAAAGATGAAGGGGACGAGTCCCCTTTTAAAATAGAAAAAAGGGGCTGTAACTGAGAAGTGGTGAGAGACAGCGAAGGGCGGAATCAATTTATATCACCTAATAATTTTTGGAAGTCATTTAAAGTTTTTAATTGCGAGGTTCTAACTGCGATTTTCTGTGGCCTAATACTCTGTTTACTAATAAGATATCCTAAATATTCAAATGGAGCTTCTCTCTGTACCTTCTCAGGAGCTATTTGAAGTCCAGCAGAGCTAAGACACTGGGAAAGAACCCAAAAGGCGTTAGCCAGGTGTTCACTGGTCTCTGCTGCCAGTAATAGGTCATCCATATAATGAATACAATATACCTCAGGAATTGTTTCCTGAAAGGGATTATAGCTCTTTTTACATATTCTTGACACAATGTGGGACTGTTAACCATTCCCTGAGGTAAAACAGTCCATTCATATCGATAGTAGGGTTCTTGCAAATTTGTAGAGGGCAAAGAAAATGCAAAATGCTCCCCGTCACCAGGGGCTAAAGATATGGTAAAGAAGCAATCTTTTAGGTCTAGAACCAACATCTGAAAATTTAGCGGAATGGCAGAGGGAGAAGGGAGGCCAGGCTGTAGGGTCCCCATGGGAAATATTACCCGGTTGACTGCTCTTAGGTCCTGTAAAAGCCGCCATTTTCCTGTTTTCTTTTTAATGACAAAAATGGGGGTGTTCCATGGGCTAGTAGAGGGTTTTAAATGGCCGAGGTTTAATTGTTCTTGTATCAAGACCTCAGCAGCCTCTCTTTTTTCTTTCACTAAGGGCCATTGATCTACCCAAACAGGAGTGGAAGTTTTCCACTTGAGAGGCAATGCATGGGGAGGATTCAATGGCCCTGGGGAAAACCCAAACCTTGTCGGGCCTGATTAGGAATGGGGGCTATAAAGGCTGGGTCCCCTTGCAAATTTTTACCTAAACCTTTTCCAGGCTGATATCCATGCTGTATCAATTGATTAAAAGACCAATCATTGGAAAGGGAGAGATTCATTTGAGACAAAACATCTCTGCCCCATAAATTTAATTCTATATCTAATATAAAGGGCTGAAATACTCCTTGTAAATCATTCGTCAAATCTCTCCATGTAAGTAAATCAGAACTTTGTTCAGGGGAGGAGGCAAAGCTGACCCCTCGAATAGGCACATCAACTGTCTTTTTGGGCCAAGTTTTAGGCCAATTATGATTAGATATGACTGAAACATCTGCCCCAGTGTCCAAAAGGCCCAGAAAAAACCTTTCCGTATATTTCCAGATTAAAAAGAGGTTTATCAGGAGAAATCATTTTGGTCCAATATATATTGGTGGATCTGAAACCTTTATTTCCTCGCTCCCCAGTAAGCGCTTGATTAGAGGTTTTTATTATAGGGAGCAATATTAGTTGAGCAATAGGCATCCCAGGTTCCAGAGAGAGAGTACCAGTCTTCAGGGATGCCAAAATATTAATTTCACCCGTATAGTCAGGGTCAATAACACCTGGATACACAATTAAACCTTTCATGGTGGAACTAGAACGCCCAAGGAGTAATCCAAAAGTTTCCTTAGGCAGCGGCCCCCATATGCCTGTAGGAATTTTTCTAGGTAATTGGCCTCCCTCCAAATAGTGAGTATGAACAGGGGCTAAATCTAATCCTGCACTGGCGGGGGTACCGCGGTATAATCTGTCAATTCGAGGGAGGTCATGGGTGTTGGAGACGGGAGTGATGTTTGTTGGGGAAAGAGGGCCCCTATTGTTTGTTGGGGCCGCGGCAAGCCCCCCTTCCAGTTTCCCGAAAGGGGATTCCCCTTAGAATCAGTCTTTGATCTACATTCATTAGCCCAATGATATCCTCTGTGGCATCTAGGGCAAAGGTTTTGAGGGTTTTTTGTAGTTTGAGAAATCTTTTTCTGAGGGCATTGATTTTTAAAATGCCCCAATTGGCCACATAAGAAGCATTTTTGATTCATTTTCATGTTTGGGTTCTTATTTTGTTTTAGTATCTGAGCGTGCAATTTTGCATGAGGGATGCCTTTAAAAGCAGCAGCCAAGGTGACTCCCTGCAAATTTGAGGGCCCCAAATCTGCGCAAAGGCGCACATAATCTTCAAGAGTTCCCTGGTTCTTCCAAGGTCTTATGGCTGCTTGACAGGCGGCATTAGCATTCTCATAGGCCAGTTGTTTAACTATTAAAGTGCCAGCTTCCGCATCGGTGACTATTCTACTGACTGCGGTTAACAATCTGGCCACAAAATCATAATAATTTTCCTCGGGACCTTGCCTGATCTTTGACAGTTCCTGTGACCTTGTATTTGTGGTAGGCAGCTTTTTCCATGCTGACAGAGAACAACTATTAATTTGGGTATAAGCTACTTCAGGAAAATTCAATTGCAAGCCCACGTCATAATACGGACCAGAACCAGTTAACATGTAATCAACAGGAATGTTAGTTCCCCTATTGTAGCTGGCCTGTTTTTCAGCATTTTCAGAGAATTGCGTTTTCCATAACAAATTGTCCCCCGGGGAGAGGCATGCTTGTGCAATGACCCTCCAATCTCCAGGACATAACGCTTCTCGTGTCATATTGTCTAACATAGATAGAGTAAAAGGCGCTGTAGGGCCATACTGAGTACATGCTTGTTTTATGTCCTTTAGTACTTTAAAGCTTAAGGCAGTGTATGCTCTTTGTCCCCCCTGCACAGTAACAGAAAATAACTGAAACTCAGATACATCTTCTCCCCTCTGTGAGGCTTGATATAGAGCTCTTTGTAATGGAGTAGCTCCTTTTATTGGGTAAGAATCGTCTGGTTGAACAGGAAAAAGGCTTCGAGGAGCCTTCTCAGTTTGCACAGCAGAGGAGTGTAATAAAGGTGGGGGAGGAGGTTCAGCATGATTTAAAACAAAAATCTCCTCCCTTCTATCTTCAAGGTAGGGACCATCAAACAGATCCTCTTCTTCATCATCTATTCCAAGGGACAGTTTATGTAAAGGGGGAGTATGGATTTTTTGATTTTCTAAGCTCCCCTCCATCGA